GCCCACCAGCCAAGGCCTCAATCCCGGCGGTTCTAGGCCAGTTGGTTACTATTGCTTTTTGTTCTTCATGCTGGCACTGAAATATAGCTTAGTTGACTGATTGGCTTTGTTAAGCCGCGGTCGAGGTTGGCCAGGCCACCCAAAGGAGCACCCTTCAACATCTTTTCCCTACGACAGGACGACACTTAGTTATGGGTATCTGAATGCTGGATCTGTGTTCAGCTGCTCTGCTGTTTTTGCAGCTGGTAGGTAGGCCTCATGTTACAAAGGCTTGAAGAAATTGGGGGGTTAAAGACATCGGCGGGGGTAAAGACGTCGGTGTTAACAAACGGAAAGGCATTTGAGCGTAAGTCTCTGAGCTCATTTGGCAAGCAAGCAATGGTCATGGTATCAATTTGTGGCCAACAGAGTGCCTTCATTATACTAAAGAGTCTGACAACACACGAAACAGGTAGGGAATGTGTGGGATGAAGTTGATTATGCGCATCCGAAGGGTCTTTTATTAAAGATTGATGTAATTGGTGATGCTTAGCAATCAGTAGGACTTTTGATTCCAGTACTATTATCCTCGATTACACACGATGCGTCACGTTATTGGCACTTGAGTGCTGGAAGTGGGTTCGGCTGGTGCCTTTGCTGCGAAGACTTCCATTGAACAGTCTTGAAAGACTGAGAGAATGTAACTTCAACGAACGCAGCATGAAAGCGAAGATCGAGAGACCGAACCCAAGTGCTCAACCCGAGTGGAATGAGCACTTGAGTGCTGGAAGTGGGTTCGGCCAGTACCTTTGTTGCGGAGACTTCCGTGAAACAGTCTTGAAGGACTGTGAGAATATGACTTCAGCCAATCCAGAATGAGAACCAAGCTCATCTGGGACCACACAGGAAGATCAAGAGATGTGATCGAACCCCCGGGCGGAATGAACATTTGTTTTTTGTGCATGTGCACCTGGCATTGTCAGTCCACAGTGCCCCCCACTCGTCAGGGCGTTCGTGTTTCAGTTGCCCCAGACATGGGATCACATGCATGAGCTTGCTGTGTCAATGGTCAGGCAGGGTGGGAAAGTGTAAGCGGGAAGACGCATGGAAGGGGGAAAGTGAAGCGTCAATCATCTTATTTGTGGACCGCTGGATTCGTTGTTGAAGTATTGTCTTCTTATTCTGATATCTTATAAGGCATCAGCCCCATTGAGAGAGTAAACAGTGCTTGCCAAGAGACTGGTCATGGGTAAACAACAGGGAAGCAGCAACAAGCTGACTGGAAAGGAGGAGCAATTTTGCTGCTGTCTTCCCCCAAATGTAACGCATGTAGACGGCTGTCCCTTCGTCCCTGACTGCAAGCGCCCTCCGCATCCGGACACTATACGTCCATTTTGCGGCCATGGGCATTATACTGAATGCATGGTCTTTTTCAACTCTTTTGTGGTGTGCGATCTTTATATATACCCGTTCTATATATATAATAGTTCCGGAAGTGTACACTTTTGATAAATCTAAGCTGTGCCCTAAATCCCACAATAAATGTCGAATTCCGTTGCTCATATGATAGCATAGTGCTAAGAAAGCTAAATTGAACAAATATCGTCACAAACAGAATTGCCCGGTAAAACCGTAGGCAGAGAGAGAGAAGAGGACAACAAACGAGGGGCTGTGACAAACTGTTTATATATAAAAGGTTGAACGCAAGAGCCCAACAGTGCACCATTCAGCAGGTGAGAAACATAATACTAAACTGAACAATTGAGGCGTGGAGGGGTGCATGGCCAGAGGGTGTAGCCGCCCACCTCCGCCACATCAAAATCTTCTCATATCATCTTCCATTTGCGATTTGCATGAACGCCAACCCCCTTGCTGACATTCATAAATCATTTGTGGATGCTGCATATATGGTACACCAATAAAATAAAATAAAAAATGACACCACCATGACTGTTTTCAGTGTTTTCTGAATTCCTCGCATGCAACTGCACTTGGCAAGCACATAGGCATTCAACGGCGAGGAAACACAACAGTGAAGGTAACAGTTGCGGGAGAAGGAGGGGGGGGGGGKAGGGGTAGGGGTAGGGCCCCCTTCCCCGCCACAACATGTCGCGCCATTACTCCTGGCAAGGGGATTGGCATTTGCAAAAACACAGAGATATAACAAAATACTAAAATAGTTAAGGGGGACCTGGGGTGCAAATGGCGGGCGAGGCGTAGCCCTCCTCCCCTGCCACAATAACATCTTCTCATGTCACCTGTTTTTGCCGCTCTGTTTTAGTACGTATGCATATGTCGTTGTGACGACTAACTTAATCTGCTCCTATCTCCCAAGCAATCCTCCCCACGCGAGACGAGAAATGGCCTATGAGCTGCATGCCTGTGCCCTCATGGTAAATCAACTTCTGAAATGAACCCGTTGCCTAAAATTCCCATAATGATGCAGTTTGAGCGGTCCTATGCCCTACAACTGGTCCATGCCCCCCTCCAACCCCCTCCCCAAAATTTTGCACCCTTGCCATGACTGCGCAGGCCCACGCAACAACGGGTAGGACCAACAATTCAACACAATTGTCTATTTTGGGGGCGTGCGGAATGCGGCCCTACGAGCATGTTTTTTTTTTGTTTTTTTGTTTTTTTTGAGAGAGAGAGGGAGAGAGAAAATTGTGTTTCCTTTCCACATGCATCTCTTCTCAAATGCAAACAGGTAGTGTGTCTATAACTACCCCAAAAAGTCCGGCAAATTCATAGGTCCAAGCACAAAAGTTATTGGGGCAAAACATCTTCACTTTCCACACCCGTCATGCCTAGGCCACGAAATACTCGCCCCATGTCCTCCTTTCAAAACCTGACAACCGGGGTCCACAGGAAACCAAGGACCAGTCCTCCAAATTAAGGGTACAGGTATTGCTGCCAATTACTTGTCGGCCCTTCATGAAAATGTAGTGGATCAGTCTTTGTAAAACTTCCACCCCCATTTTGGGTGAACCCTGCCGCCAAAATTAAAACCATCTTGAGGCAGTTGTGGGAACCCAGAATACCCCAGCCTTAGGGCTGCGAACAGAAACACAAGAACCCACTATACCGTATCCTTAGTACCATAAAAAAAATAAAAAAAATAAAAAAAGGGCTGCAAATTCCCAAACTGGCCCATCGAGCCAAAACAATGGGAGCCTATCAGTAGCAGTGGGGGGGAAAAGATGCATTCTTTCATCGTTATCATTTCTTCTGCCCTAAGTACAAGTCGCTCCGGCTAGTCTGAGTTCCGCCTAGCCTTGGGTAAGTTAGGGGAAGGACAGTAGGATGTGTCCGTGGGCGCCAGCTTGCCTTGTTTAGGCACTACCTGCTGGGTAGACTCTCTGAATTGGGCCTGTAGAAGATTGCATGAGCCTGGCGTCCAAAGTTCCCATACGGCATGGTTTGTCCGCTTCCGCTTCCACCAGGGCTGGGGGGTTGGCCCAGCCTTGGTGCTTGTCACTGCTGTCTGGTCCAAGCCCTCGATACTGGTAGAGTAAATGGTCCTGGGTGCTGGTCACACTGAGGTAGGATAGTAGGGACAGGGGGTGCGCTGGGAGTATTAACGTGGGGATGGGTAGGGTATATATATATATGATGAGTCGGTGAAACTCCGACGAAACAGTTTGTCACAGCCCCTCGTTTGTTGTCCTCTTCTCTCTCTCTGCCTACGGTTTTACCGGGCAGTTCTGTTTGTGACGATATATACGATATATATATACATATATATATATATATATAGCTAGGAAGATTTCCATGACTGGCCGGTCACCCAGGCGTGACGCCCGGGATAACCGGGCATGGGGGGAATTTAAAAAAAAAAATGGCAGTGGGTGTTTTCCACGCTCTCCGAGAGGAGCCCAAATCCGGGCTCTTTTCTTTTTTCGAGTGTTGGCTGTCAAGGTGGGGGAAGGGGAGTATAAATGAATTTGAAAGGGGCTAAAGGGGTTTAAATGGGGGTGCCTTAGTGTGATTTGGTTATTTTCTTTTTTATCTTCAGTTCTGTGAGGAATTCTGATGTGACCCTCCCCCTCCTCTTAAATGGGGATATCCACTGCTGGGGGTGATATGAGCATCCTCCCAAAGTGGGCTCCCAGGTTGACGGCTCCAATCTATAGGTGTGGAGCTACACCTGCTGGAAAACGGGTCTGCCATCATAGTAGGAATGATAGTAGAGGAAGGTAGTAGGGTAGGTAGGAGACATGGTTAAACCACCAGTACCTGGCCCAGCTATCGGCCGCGGCGCTTCCCGTATACGCGCCGCGCCATTTGGGCTTCGGCCTGCCGGACCGCATTGGCTGGAGGCCGCAGGCAAAACGGAAAAGAAAATTGCGACAGCGGTTCGGCAGGACTTGGCGCGCAGCGTGCTGGGAGGCTCGGATTCAATAGCTGAGCGAGGTACTGGTGGTTTAACGGTGGGCCTTCGCTGCGTCACCATAAGCAAGGTAGTGGAAAACTCCGGAAAGAAACGATATGGGCTCTTAGTACAAACACCGAAGGGCCAAAGAGGCAAGGAAAAAAGGAACAAAAAAAACAGGAAAACACTATAGAACCCTAGCACAAAGACACTTTGCGAGTTAAAATTTAAAATATAAGCAGTCGACAATTACACAATGAGATGCTAACGTCTTCTCAGCTAGTCCAAATATGTCAAAAGTTACTCAAAACTGAATACACAGCCCCGCTCACCATTATCTTGAGCAAATAGGCCTGGACCACTCTTTTTTATTTTATATTTTTTTCCCCCGATAGAAGATGGCTCCATTCTATTGGTGGGGAGCTGCACCAGCTGGAAATTGGGTCCAGCGTCCCAATTGCCTGTCCTGCCTGTCCGGTCAGAGGACGGTAGCGGACAGTCAATCCTTCCTTACCTCTCCATTCTATTGGTGGGGAGCTGCACCAGCTGGAAATCGGGTCCAGCGTCCCAATTGAGGCTTGCCTGTCCGGTCAGGATGGTAGCGGAGAGTGGATCCTTCATTAGCCTCCAGGGAGCAATCAATGTTGTACTTCAAGGGGTTCCTTTATTACTGTATTTTGGACTCTTCTGGTGGAAGAGGAGTAACTAACCAGAATGAAAGGGAGCCTTGTTGAGCATAAAGTCAAGTTAGACGACGTAATATGACTTTTGGGATGAATCCAGTCGCATTTGCTGGTATGGTACATGTATGCAAGAAAAGAGTGCTGCTTTATGCCCTGAGGCAACACAGCACATGCACATTGTATTCAGAAGTGGAGGAGTGATAGCCCCGAAGCAGGGAAAAAGACAACGGCAGGGACATGAGCCCTTTTGCAGCATGATTCTCCCAGCGAGAACTGCAATTTTTTCTGGTCCCCGATGTAGTTTGCAATCTTGGCCAGGGATGGCCGGAAATGAATGGCCAGGATTTCCAGAGTCATGATCGGGCTGTGTCAAAGCCCTTCCTTTGCAGAGCTGGATACCGATAGGAGGACGAGGAGGACGAGGAGGAGGTAGTTTTCACAATGCCCTCTACGATAGCGGTATTGCCGGCCTAGTCATCATCTGACTGTCTCGAACCGTGCTTTTTAACAAGGGGGTACGTAAACGACGAAGAGGAGATAGTGCTCGCAATAGTCTCTAGGATATTTTTCTTGTCCCCGCTGCACCGGCTGTCTAGCCAGGACAGGATGTCAGACATGACAGTCTGAGCAACATTGTCAGGCTCGCCGCTTAGCAGACAGTGCCAGGAACCAGGGTAGGTTTTTATCCTCTTGTCTTTACTCGCAGCAGTGTTGAAAAGCTCTCTGCTGCACGCTGGATCCGTAACCCGGTCTGCCTCCCCATGCAGCACAAGGAAAGGTAGAGTAATTTCTTTCATGTGGTCAGCGATGTACCGTGTGATGTTCAGCAACTCCAAGGCCGTCTTCAGCCGAGGTCTTCCCCTGTATCCAAGAGGATTCTCAAGTCCTGTGGCACGCTTAGCTGGCACTCTAAACGCAAACTCAGCCAGATCCCTTTGCGGTACCGCTTTCCAAGCGGGGAAAGCAAAAGCAAGCTTCTTCAGGATTTCTGACACCACCCAGTGGGGAGAAACGTCGGCTGCTATTTTGCACATGGGTGCTAGTAAGATTGCTCCGTTCCACTCTTCGGGCCTTTTGAAGTGGGAGATCAGCGCGACGGCACCACCCATGGACTCTGCAAAGAGGAAACATTGCTTCTTTCGGAATTCCGGTCTGCCTTTGATCTCCACAAAGTATTCCACGCAGTCGTCCACCAACTTTCCAAAATCGGGAATGTAGACGTGCAGGCCCTCGGACAGGCCATGCCCTTCATAATCCAGTCCAAAAAATCCATACCCTTCTTTTACAAACTGGATAGCCAACTTATCGAAGAAATAATTGCACGTATCGCCATAACCATGACAGAGAAAAATGAGAGCTTTCACATCGGGCGCCGAGCCGCCTTTGGTGGTTGGAGCCGGAAGCCACTCCTTTGTAAAGATTTCCACACCGCGGGAGCTTTTCCTGTAGGATTCCTTAACTTTCACCCCCTGCTGCAAGTAGTACCGCTGATCCTTTCTGAACCTAGCAAATTTGGCTCTCCTACCTCTCTCCCACTCTAACTCGCCTTGGCGATTTATCACCATCCTAGTTACCATGATGGTCGCAGCCGCGAAGACTGCGCCGCCAAGCCACCAGGCCCACATAACATTTTGGTTCAGCCATGGATGCTCCTTGCGGTTGTATTTGCCGCGCGGAAGTCCCAAGTTGCTCCGCGCGTTGGACGTCATAATTGGAGCAGCGGAATGCCGCCCTTGCTCTCAAGTTGCCCGTCCCTTCACGTCGAACCGACGATGTGAATTCTCACCCAGTTGAAAAGGAAAGGTTGTCGAGCATGTCAGAGAGATATCGCGGAACTTTCCTCATGTTACAAAGTTTCCAAGAGTTCACGTTGCAGAGTTTCGGGCGGGTTCACCACGCAGTGCAAGCACCTAAACTCTATAAGCAACTTGTCAGAAATTTATCTTAGATTTTTTGGCATTGTATTATAGTGGACTCGTTCCTGAACGAGCCTTTGAGAACATGTTATAGATTTTTCTGTCCCGGCATCACCGAGAAAGTTTGGAACATCGAGAAGGTCGCAAATTGGCACCGGGAGAAAAAACAACTCCAACTCCCATAGCCATCAGCAATTTGACTTTGACTTCCATCTATGTTGATGATAGACAGGTCTGAACGCTGATGAGCGCAATCCCATCATTAGCCAGCCAATCCACACACCTACTTGTTAGATTCAGTAATTCGGTAATCGTGTCTTTCCCAGCTTGTTCTCCATCAAGAAGGTGGAGGAAAATGAGGCCTTAGGGGGGTGGAAGTGGGGGTGGGGGGGTGGGAGGAGGCAAAAAACAAAAAGTTGGTTCTGCTGTTGAATAAGACCGCCCTCCCCCCCAGGTCCTTCCAGCTACTCTATGGCACCATCACCGCTATGGATGACAGCAGTGTGCCTCTCTGGTCAGATTGTCTTTTTTTGCGTGTCTACCGTCTTCACCCGAATATAATGTACACGGCCCCAGCCTTGCAGTCCGATACTTGTCGCCACAAGAAAACGAGGCCGAAACATCAAACGCTGGGCCTGCCGTTGATAAATTGGATCGGCGGTCACTTTTTCATTCCATTATTCGGAACTCGAGGTGTCAGGCCCGCGCCCCAGGTAGCCGTGTGCTGGTGCTTTAAGGGTGCCCCACCACCAAGCATCTCTGATAGCTGGGAAGAACTCCTCAAATAGGAATTGACCTGGAAACCAGGATAGGGGGGAGTAGAAATCCAGGAGCTGCTCCCGACTCGAGCCTATCAATTCTCACACAGATGGAACACCCACAACTACTCGGCTGTGTTCACAGCCTTCCCAATCTGCCACGCCAATCCTGAAGCCCCACCCATCCTGAACAAAGACTCAGAAGAGGTCACCCTCAATGTGTACACCCTGCGCAAAATCGGACTTTTGGGACTATGGCCCCAAAAAAATATTTCAAATAGGCCTGCCTATCCAGGGACTGCAATTTGACCCTGCTGAGTGGGGATGGAAATCAAAGAGAGTCTAGAGTGAAAAACACCACACTCAAAATAACAGAATGGTGGGATACATACCCAAGAGACTAGCTTAGTGGGTACAACCATCAGCTGTCGAAATACAGACCAGAGTTCAAATCCAGATGATGGAACTTGATGGGTAAAACCAAGTATTTCTGAATTGCCTGGGGCCGGTCAGCTCAATGTTGATATATCAAGGCCGTCGCCCCTTCAAAAAAAAAAAAAAGTAGAATACACAGTTAAACTGGGTTACGAGATGCTACCCAAGAGAGAGGGGGCGGGGGGGGGACCAATTAGGTGCAGATGGGCAACAAGGCTGAGAGAAGAGGATGCGAATCAAAGTGATAAATATACCATGGGAAAACAAATCAAAACAATACGCCCACACAAAGTGAAAAGTCTCGAATGGCTCATCACATATGCCGCTCTACCAGTCAATCAGCGGCTCCATAAAAGAACAAGGCATAGGGACCCCCCCCTAGCAGCTCGGACCTGTGTCTTGCTTGTTCAGACGACGAGCAAGAAGACTTAATACACTGCCTAATCAGATGTAAAGGAGCAACAGAACTATGGGCAAGAGCTTGCGACCTGTCGGACCGTCGTTTCACCTCTATCTTTCCCGAACGCCCTATCCAGCTTCTCCTATGGACTAACATCCCATCCCAGCTAGGCAAGCCAGAAAGACAGGGGTTCAGAATGATTCGCAAAGTCCTCACATTGTGGGCAATCTGGGAGGAAAGATGCAGCAGTACCGTGGACAACACCAAGAATGCGCTCGACACAGACTGGGCTGCAACAAAGAACATGATGGAAGCAGAAATTCTTTGCAAATGGCGGAAGGCCAAGGACACGATACAGAGCTATCAAATCAGGTACGCCTGTCGGCTTTCAGAAGAGTCTGGCTAATCGAGGACAAAAAGGCGGCCGCAGACGTTAAAGACATGAAACACCAAGAATGCGCTCAGCACAGTCTGCGCTGCAACGAAGAACATGATGGAAGCAGAGATTCTTTGCAACATATGGCAGAAGGCCAAAGACGCGATATCCGGAGACGACAAGTCAGGTACGCCTGTCGACTTTCAAAAGAGTCTGGCTAATTGACCACAAGGTGGCCGCAGACATTAAGGTCCTTGAGGACATGTGACTAAGATTCAACTACTCGGCGTAGTACTCGCACAATTCGGAACAACATGATGGTTTGTCCTTCGGGACAACCGTTAAAATTGGAACGATGCAGAGAAGATCACTTAGCATGGCCCTAAAAAAATAAAAAAAAGAAACGAAATCATGGAGGCAGAGCACTGAGGGAGAGAGATCCCACCAGAGCCCGGCGAGATCCTGATGGACAGAAGAAGGTGTGCCACAATAATGGCCAACCATTGCAATGGGCTGATCATACCAAAGTCAAGGACTGATACAGGATGGGAGACAAAGGAGGAGGGTGCATTCTCATGCTCATGATTCTAGACGGGGAGAGCCAACGCTGACAGGTCCACAGATCGAACCTGAGAGGAATACATGAGATGGGCATGCTGAAAAACCTACAGCAATAAATAAAATTCCCATGAAAATACCACTCGATTGAGTCCCAAAAAAACGCAAAGCACTCTTGATGGACTTACAAAAGAATGGTTTACACAGTCAATCCTCCTCTAAGAGGGAGTAATCAATGCTGTTCAGGGGATCCTTCCGGATCCTTCAGCCAAACGGAAGAAGCGCGAGTGTGTAATTGATGTACCTTCTTGACTTGCCGGGGGGATAGGAACCAGATTGATGCTCCCCCCAGAATGGATAATGAGCCAGGGCCACAAGGACCTTTTTTTTTTTTTTTGTGTGTGTGTGTGGCGGGGGGGGCGGAGGGGGGTGTGAAAAACTGTCGCTTTTGGAATCCTCGACGTGGACAAACTCACTAAGAAAAAATCGATTTCACACATCCATAAGCTCCTTTTCAGAAACTCCAGAGGCCGAGAGCACAGGGGAAAACTGGACAAGGTGAAGGTTCAACCGGAGTTTCCGGAAATGGGTATTACAAATCCTGTGGCATTTTTCACCGCGGTAAAAAAATGCAGATACCCGAGCCCTGAGCACACAACATGAAGCTCTTCATCACCAAATATATTGCACGCCAGCATTCATGCAATTCTCAGCAGAAGGAGATAAACCAGACTTGAGAAAACTGGCGAGCGCTCAGTAGCTAGGTCCCAAACTGAGGACCTGTGACGGGTAAGTATTTGCCAGAAGTAGATAAAAAGCTACTACCGGTTTTGCTGCCCGGCAGTCCTTTCACTGCCGAATAGACAGAATCTTACAGAAGGGTATGCATCTCCCCCCTATCGACCGCCGCTATCTCCCCCTTACCTGTGTCCAATACCACACACAAAAAGGAGGAACACAGCAGCCAGCCAAGAAGCAAAGATTTCTGTTATATTCAAGCAAGAGGGGGAGGAGGAGAACAGAAGACTCACCAGTAACCATGTTTTCCGTGAATTGGCATCCAGAGGTGCTTTATATGGCATAAGTAAGTCTCGTTAAGTCTAGTTGGTAGCTCATAGGTAAGTCTTGTTAAGTCCAGCTCATAAGTAAGTCTAGTTAAGTCTAGTTGGTAGCTTAGCTCATAAGTAAGTCTAGTTAAGTCTAGTTGGTAGCTGTTCATAAATGCATCTGTTATTTATCTTAAACCACTAGTACCTTTGCCGTCCGGTTTCGACAAGTTTTAGCCTAGTCCCGGACTTTTAGGAGTCCCGGGCCCGACAACGGCTACCGTTCATAAATCTTATCGGTGGCCGTCTTTTCGTTTCTGCCTTTCTGCCTTCTGAAAGGTCGGAGGCCCACTATTTTCCGAACCGACAAAGGTACTTCAAATGAAAATGACAACATGCTTTACGCTTTAAACCACCAGTACTTGGCCCACCTATCCGCCGCGGAAAAAAATAGAGTAGAAACATTCGGATGACTTTGGGCGCTCCTGTAGTAGCCTGTGCGCTCCTGTAGTAGCCCGTACGTTTCCTAAAGCCGCGTTAACATTTCTAGTCGGATGACTTTGGGCGCTCCTGTAGTAGCCCTTACGTTTCACAACTCTAGGAAAAGGCACAACTCCAAAAAAAAAAAAAAAAAAAAAAGGCAAGTACTGGTGGTAAGGCACAACTCTAGGAAGTACTGGTGGTTTAGGGTTGTAAGTTGTTGTTTAGTCACTGTTCCCCCAATCAATATACCATAACTGTTTTTGTGCTATGACGATTTCCGTGAAATTACAAGAACCTACGCAAATTAATAGATGGGTAATCAACTCCCATACGGTCAGTATCTGCAGATTTGGACCTTACCACAAGACACACCTCTAGCCTTTTTCCAGATATCTGCGATTCTCTTATCTGGCATCAGATCAGAAGCGAAGCATCTGTTGAGCACACAAAGGATTGATTGATGATAATGATTCTTGACAGAGAACTTTCGGAGCTTTGCTTTCTTTTTCCCCCTTTTTTTTTTTTTTTTTTTGGAAAAACACATCCCATTGCCAGGCCACTATCCTGGTGGTGGTGAGTGAACCACCGGGAACGAGGACTTGCTAGTCCGATGGCTCTTGTCCTGCTGGATATCCGGTCCAGCGTCCCTATCACACCGACGAGATTATAGACAGCCGCCTGCACGGTGCCCCTTGCTGACAGAATTTTATACCGGGCGGGGAGCCAGCTGCAAAATTGGATTCAGAAAGTAGGCTGCTCCCCTCTCTCAATGCTTCCGAG